TAAATAATACATTCCTTCTTAATTTTATGGAAAAATATTCATTTTCATTCTATTAAATAATACATTCCTTCTTAATTTTATGGAAAAATATTCATTTTCATTCTATTAAATAATACATTCCTTCTTAATTTTATGGAAAAATATTCATTTTCATTCTATTAAATAATACATTCCTTCTTAGTTTTATGGAAAATTATTATTTCATTCTATTGAGTAATACATTCCTTGATTTTAAGGAAAAATATTAAAAAAATTGTTCATATTTTAAAAACACTTCTAGTTAAAAACAAAAAAAAAAGACTTACTTTTGTTACTATATTTTGCAAGAAAAATGTTACTTATGTATACATTTTTTTATTGTATTTTTTATTTTTTACTAAATATGAAATTGGAAAAGAATTACTGAAACTATTAGATGAACAATTAAAAAAAAGAAAATACTAAAAAAATAATTTACTAAATAGAAAAATAAAAAGTCTTTTCATAATTATTGAAAACAAATTCTTAAATTATTTTAGTGTTAGAAATGAAAAAGATTATTTGTTACAACAAAAAAACAGACAACAAATTTTTTGGTTCCTCCCCCCTTCCCCCCATTTCAATCAAATAGAATAATATATGAAACAACAAATACATTCCAATCGAAATACAATACGTATACAAATACGACGATATATCCTCTTATTTCTAAATAGAAATACAAATATCTATTTGACCCCCTGGTGATTTATTAAAAACATTTAGTAAAAAAATATTTTAATTTTTTAATTGTTTTTAAATAAATTACTGATATTGGAACAAATCAAATAAAAAATGCAGGCAGTTTAAAAATTAAATTAATGAATTGGATTTTGTTAATAAATCAAGTCACCTGCTATTTTTCTTTGCTGTAAGATATTTGCTCATATATATATATATATATCATATATATGATATATATATATATATATATATATATATATATATATATATATATATATATATATATATATATATATATATATATATATGTGATATATATATATATATATGTATGCATAATGTTTTGTAGAATATATTTGGATGTACTCCAGAAGAAGAAGAAGAAAAGGAAGATGGTGGAATGGATAATTCACCTAAACCACAGCAGGATGATTTTAAATTTGGGAGGAAAATTAATAGAAGATTTGGTATTCGCCATTCACCTCGCAGTAGTGTGAGGAGACAGTCGTAAGTTGTTTAATGAAAAACCATTATAACAATTCACATACTAATAAACAAAACAAAAAATCATTTTCTTCTAGTACTAAATTATTTTAACCAATAAATAAATGCTTTTAATTCTTTCTAATGTTTTTTGCATTATACAATGTTTTGCACTTTAAATCAAAACAATATGATATTGGTGAATGCCAACATCATTAAATATCTTTTAATCTTGATTTGACATCCCTTTCAACTTTAATGCTTAAATCTAGCTTTTTTTATATTTTGTTATTGTTGTTATTCTAAATGATGTCAAGTAAATGATGTCATATAGGTGACATCATTTATATGATGTCATCTATATTAGATAGACATCTAACTAAATTAAACTATTAAATTAATGTTTTTTATTTAATTTATAAAAATGATAATAATTATTTATATGTTAAGACTAGTCTATAAAAGTGAAAAAAAAATCTATAAAAGATTATCTTTAACAAAATTCTTCACTAATTTAATTAATACATAGAAGAGTAACTGAATGGGGCTAAATATAAAAATTTCTGTGTGTATACATACATATATATGTATATATATATATATATATATATATATATATATATATATATATATATATATATATATATATATATATATATATATATATATATATATATATATATGTGTATATGTATATATATATATAAGTTTATTGTTATTTATATTTTTTAATATATATATATACATATATATATATATATATATATATATATATATATATATATATATATATATATATATATATATATATATATATATATATATATATATATATATGTATATATATATATATATATATATATATATATATATATATATATATATATATATATATATATATATATGTATATATATGTATATATATGTATATGTATACACACTAAAAAATATAAATAACAATAAACTAAAAGCATATACACAACACACATACACATTTTAAAAGCCTAATATCAATAAAATATAAAACAAAGCAAAATCTGCACCAAAATATACAAACTTTTTTATATGCATATTAAATTGTATGCTTGTATTTTTGCTACAAACACACAAAATGCAAAATTAAAAATAAAGTATAAACCTGATTTGCACAGCATAACCTTTCTGCAAACAAATGGTTTCAAGTCATATCACATTTCAATATATATTAGATTTCCCATTTAATTAAATTAGTTTAATGGAGGTCTTGCTATTTGATTATTTTGATCTTTAAACAATTTCAAATTATTAGAAGTTATTTCCTAATTTAAAAAAAAAAAAAAACGCCAAAAAGTTGTGCTTATTATTACTACATTTAATGAGGTTTTCATTATGGTGATACATATTTAGAAAAACTATTATATTTCAAAAAAAAAAATTTTTTTTTTTAATCTTTTGTTAACATTTAGGCATTGTACATGATGCCAATAGAAAATAGATAAAAGACACAGAAATTATTATAACTTCTTTTAAAGTCCTTTTTATTATTGTAAAAAGATCAGACAAGCTTATACAAAAATAATTAATCTTTTCAAATAACTGGTGTACTTAGTCAAGTTTATTATAGTTTACATCCATGTTGTATTATCAAGTTTTCAACTGATTATTTTACTGTTTTTTTGTCACTTTTTTTTTTTTTGGAAACAGCTTTTTTTAACTGTTGTTTTGGAAATATTGATTTGGAATTGTTTGTCATAATATTTGTTCTTGTTATTAATATTTTTCTAAAATGGTTTATGTTTAGTTAAAAAAAAAGAAGAGGGAACATTAAAAACAAAATGTCAAAAAAGTTTTTTTTTTAATTTTTTTTATTTTAATTTGGTTCAAAAATGTTAACAAAAAAAAAAAGGGTGATGAATTAGGAAATGAAAAAAGAAAAGAAAATAATCATATTATAAGAATTTTTTTTTTTTTTTTGGCTATAATTTATGGGTGGGATTTCATAAATGTTTTCAAAAAGCAAAATTTGTTTAATTTATTATGTAGGGTTTTTTTTGTTTCCTGTTACAAAAGATTTTTTGTTTCCTGTAACAAAAGTTTTTTTTTAAGATTTTCATTAGAATTTAAAAATTTTACCAAATGTTGAATAGTTATAGTGAAGTTAATTTTTTAATGCTTGGATAATTATGCAGTTTCTTCTGTTCTTAATGCTTGGATAATTATGCAGTTTCTTCTGCTAATTATGTTCTTTCTAAAGTTTAGATGTTCCTTATTTGATTCTTAGATAATTATAAGATTTCTTATTTGGTGCTTGGATATATATGAAGCCCTTTATTCGATGCTAGGATAGTTATGAGGTGCCTTCTGATGCTTGCATAAATATGGAGTTTCTTTTTTGATGAATTATTATGTAAAGCAGTTTTTTTCTCAGAAATTTCTGTTATTAATAAAAACTTTTTTTATTTTGATGATTCTAAATATTATTTTGTCAACAAGTTTCCAAACCTCAAATTAAAAGTAAGGAACTGAAAAAAGTTTATCTTAAATTTTAATATTTTAAATAAGTTGTTTTATTTATTTTCTATTATATTCCATTCTTTAATTATTTTTGTCATTCCATTTTTAATTTTTTTAACAGTTAATTTACATCTTTAAAAAAAAAATCATTTCACATGTAACGAAAAGTCATGCATTAAAATATTTTTATAAACACTTACAGTGAAGACATTTTATAAATGCTTTTAAGAAGTATTGCAAATGTTCTGGGTTTTGAATCCAAAGAAAAGTCTTTTTCTGAGGATGGCTCAGATATTGTTGCAGATTCTCTAATCTATGATGAGAATGACAATGAAGAGCAGTATAATAATATTGATAAAAATTCTAAAGTTACTAGAAGAAAAAACCGCACAAGCTCTAGTGCTCGCCCAACCATACATAAGCCTATACGTACAACTTGGGTTGTTGATAGTAGAATGGAAACTGATTTAGCTCGAGAAGAAAAAAAGTTGCGTCGGTTAGCACGTGTGAATACAGAACTCCAAGTTATCACAGTTAAACCTGAGAAAAATCTAAGAGATACTTATACAACGTAAGCAGCTTTATAAAGTAAAATATTTATTGAAAAGTATATATATTAATAAAAGTATGATTATACACTGCATAACATTAGTAAAACATTGTTGTATACCTTCACATTTATTAATTCAACAGTGTCATGTTCTCAAGATTTCAATCTAAGTTTATTTCATAAGTCAATCTAAAAACTAAAGGTTTATTAAAAAATTAATAATAGTTTGCTTCAGATAATCTGCATAAAACTGTCCCTGTAAATCAAATTAAATTTTTAAGGCAAACAATGATCCCTAGAATTCTTTCTAAAAAAAAGTTCTTTTTTGTGTTTGATTTTTTTACAAAAAATTTAGTATAATGTTGCTATCATTGAATTAAGATGTAACAAATTTATTTGTTTTTGAACTGAGCTTGTCTGAAAACAATTTTTAAAAACCTTTTGTTTATGAATTTTATTTATTCAGGTGTTTACTTTTTGTTTGGTAGTTTTTGTTTGGTTATAAATATTTGTTTGTTATAAAGCTTCTCAAAACTCTATAAAATAAACAAATATATTAACAATAAATGAATTACATTAATAAATTGAAAAATGTTCTCTTGTTTTGCTTTTGAAATCAGTCTACAGCATTAAGATTTATATATTATATGAGATCTAACCTTGAAGTAAATACACTGTTTATTATTTATAAAGGTTGATTTTTTTATTTTTATTTTTTATTTTTTTTGTATATATCTTTTTAAAACATCAATGTTTTTCTTGTTTGGATTTTTAAATACATTTTTATTGCAAATTTTAGACAAGATGGTTTGTCATTGCTTACCATTTGTTATAAATTGTGTATATGTTTGTTTATATGTGTGAATGTGTTTTTGCATCTATTTATTTGAGATTTTATAATCTAATTCCATAACCTCCTACATGCTATAGGAGTAGTTTCTAGTAATTAAAATAAAACCACAAGTAATCACATACTGAAGTAATTATGAATAAAATTTATAGGTTTTAATATATTACAGTTTTTTAATAAACTTCTTAAAATTTTAGAATCTTTATTTTTCAAGACTAACCAAAATCTCTACATTATATACTCTAAAAATTATCAACTTTTTAATGCAAGGTCTATTGATTATTTGCCAAAATATTTGTAGGTTTCTTATTACTGCATTTATTGATTCTTAACACAAGATTTATAGATTACTATGATTTATAGATTTTAAAAGACCACATTTGACTCCCCATTTTGTGGGCTAACAAGTGACTTTTTATTTATTGTATGCTTTATTTGAGTTTGAGAGGGTGAAATTAAGTTTTTACATTTTATGGGGTGACTTAAGGCCAATCATGAAAGCAGCCGTGGCACAGTTGACAACCAACCATAAAAGCAGCCATTACACAGTGAGATAAGATTTTTGATACAAAATTTTGAAGTTTATACTTCATAATTTTGTATCAAAAATAAATCATTTTAAAAATGTATCAAAGATAAATGATAAAGTAAAAATATTTCCACCAGTTTGATCTCGTTTTTGACATTTGTACCAAAAACAAGATCAAACTTGTGGGAAATAACATGATCAAACTTGTGGTTCTGAATCATAACTGGATCAAACTTGTGTTCTTGTGATCTTGTGATCAAACTTGTGATCAAACTATAATGCAAACTCACAGCAGTGGGCTTGCATTAAAGAACCACAAGTTTGATTCAGTTTTTTGGTTCAAGTGTCAAAAACGTGATAAAACTTTTGGCAAATACCATAAATATTTCTACTTTATCATACATCTTGTATCCAAATCTTTTTTTTTTTTTTTTTTTTTTTTTTAATGAAAATATTAGCAAAGTTGAATGGTTGTACCATAGTTGTCATAACAGAAAATAGTGAAAAATAATAACAATAGTAATATAGTTCATTTGATGAAAATAAATAAACATAAAATTTATAAATACTATAAATAAATAAGTATAGTATCAAAGTTAGTAAATATAGCTGCTATAAATTAATTAATAAATCTAACAGTTTATTTTTTATTAATAGACAAAAAAAAATATTATAAATATTTATTTGTAAATTTTATGTTAATTTTTTTTCAATTTATTGCAGTTTATAATATTATTTCTTTATAGCAGCAATAACATTGCATATTAAAGCTTTTAATTTATTATATAGTTCTTATGTAATTTATTATATTGTTTATTAAAATTTTCAGTTTAATGAAAATTCATCAGTTTAATTTATTTTTATTAACTCTGATTTTATCTAAATACATAAATTAATTATAAGTATAAACTATAAATGTTTATATAAAATAAGTTTAAATTTTCGAAAAATATATTCTTAAAGTTGTATATTTTTATATTGTGTTTAAGCTGTTTGTATTGGATTAATTGAAAACTTAATTACTTTTAATATGGTTATAATGTAACACCTACTTCAGAATTTTTCAAAATATTGTCTAAAATGGTTGATAGTATAACATTATGTTGGTGTTGTTACACTTGAGTAAGGTTGCAAAATGTTAAGTTTTAAAGTTTTATAATTGTGTAATAAGCATGAATCCTGACAACAATTGTTTAAAAATCTTTTAATGTTGATAAACATACAAAAGCAATATATTTTTCACTTGTTAAAAAAGATTGCTTTATTAAAATAAAAAGTTTGATGATTTTTACAAGTATTGTGTTTTCAAATTCAATGTGTTATTTATGTTTATTAATTGAAATATCAAATAATAAAATATTGAGAATTTAAACTGATAAATTAAAAAAAAGATTATAAAAATAATTTCAACAGTTTATTTTTTATTGAAAAATTTGTTAATTAAAAATTATGGATATTATGGATATAAAAGCTTTTTTATATGAAACATTAGGAAAAAAATTATTTATGAAATATTTACAATAAAAACTATTTATTTTTATTTAATCAACTTGTTTATGATTTTGATATTGTACTCACTAGTTAACATAAAAAAATAATTTACATGTTGTCATTTCTGCTACTCTACATTGTACTCTAAGATTTTAACATAAGTAGTATACTGGTCATGTTATTAATTTAATTGTGCCATCAGTAACACAATTAAAGTATCATATAAATAATGGTAGCATTATTGATAGTACAATAGTGGTATAATGATAGCATTATTAATAGTGGAAGACAATATATATGGACTGATAAATATTTATTAAAAAAAAAAAAAATTCAAACTTTTGCTTAAAATGAAAAGATCTGAAATTACTCAACACAACATTTTAAAAGCACAAAACAGTTTTGATATGCCTCAAAGGAAGAAAGGAAATGTTATATTACCGAAAATATCTGATATTAAATCTTTACCAGAACCCCAAAATTCTAACAGCAATGAGTGCTCTCCGATTCTTTCCAGGAGGCTTGCTCACTTTCCTCATGAAACCAGGTGTGTAGATTTATTATAACTTTTTAACAAGTTATTGAAAGTTTTTCTTCAAATTTTTCTTTTTTATGTTTTCATGCGAGTGTGTGTTTTTTTTAAATAAATTTTTATATTTTGTGAGTAAAGTTTTTATTAAATTTTTTAGGTTTATATAAAAAATTATATATTTATATAAAATTTATATAAAAATTATATATTTATATAAAAAAATTTTAGTGGTTGTTATATTACCAGTGGGTACATTGGGGGTTAAATCTAACCAAGATTTAAGGAAATGTTTTTGAAGTTAAAAATAAAATTGTCATATTATTTAAAAAATAATTTTTGTTTAAATCCAACTAAATATTCAAAAATGTAATGATTTAATATTGAAGAATTATAATTAATAGATGCAACCAGTAAGTAGATGCAACCAAGTAGTCAGTATATGCAACCAAGTAGTCAGTATACGCAACCAGTAGTCAGTAGATGCAACTAGTAATCAGTAGGTGCAGCCAGTAGTCAGTATTAGTATAGTATATAGTCAGATGCAACAAATATTTGGTATTTAATAAATGTTACTACTGTTGATAAAACTTGTTACTGTGACGTTTTTAAAGAATAAAAGAGATTGAAACGCTCACAATCAACAGTTTTGCAAGTTTTAAACTACATAAATAATTCTAAAAGAAATTGAAGGGTTCACCCTTTACCATAACAATTGACACTTAAATTTTAAAAACTTTTCTTGTCTTCTTAAAGTTTTCCTTGTTTGTGTTTAATCTCCATGTTAACTTTACTTCTTGGTTGTTTTACAATGAAAAAATTTAATCTACTAACAGTATGTGTAAAAAATGTTTTAATCTACTAACAGTATGTGTAAAAAATGTTTTAATCTACTAACAGTATGTGTAAAAAATATGGATATCATCAATGAAGTATAACAAAAAAAGTTTTTTCACTTAAGCTCGGTATCTTATTCAGGGTATAAAGAAAACTAAATAACAATAAAGGAAGCATAAATAACAGCTACCTTTTACCTGCATATAATACTCATCTGTTTTTGATTTTTAGTAGTACTATTTTAGTCTAGCACTTTCTTGTGAGCATTGTAGAGGGAATGTGCAAAAATATTATGTCTTGTAAGCATTGTGAAGGGAATGTCTTAAGACATTATGTCTTGTGAGTATTATGTGTTTTAAGATTGTATTTTCAATAAAAAAAATTTTTTTGAAAAAAAATTTTGAATTTTTTTTATTCATTTGTTTTTTTATTCATTTATTTTTGAGAGATTTTTCTTGAGAATTCTTGTCAAATTCTGATTACAACAAGTGTAAAACAAAAAATTGACATTTAAGTGTTTCAATATGTTGTAGTAAATATTTTTAAAAAATAAAAAAGCTTTTTTAGTTCTTTTAAAGATGTAAAGCCTTCTGTGTTAAAATATAATTATCAACATCACTGTTTATTAAATAGTAAATTTTTTGTCTCAATTTTTTGATCATCAAAAAGTTGACAAAATTTATATAACTAAATTAAATTTAAATTTTTTTAAAAAAAATTGATTTTCTTATGTTGAGCAACTCTTATTAATAGTTTAGCATTTAGGAACTTTTTTGATGATTTAGATGTTAAGGATTCTAGTTTATGATTTTAGGATTATGTAAGTTTCAAATTATTTTTTTTCTAACACAATAAAGTTATGTTATTCATCTTGTATAGCGTTCTTATTCATCATTGTATTCATTCATCTTGTATAGCATGACTATAAAATCAATTTTTCAAAATCAATGATTAAGGGGGAGAAACGTAAAACACCTTATGGAAATACCTGGAAATATTTACAAGTAATCTGAATTAAAGTTTTCATTTTTTAAATTTTTTACAAACTTGAACCATAACCATGTCTGTTGGTTTGACCAGGTACTATCAGGATTTAAAAAAACATGAGTAATAAATAAAAATGCTTCTTTTTTTTATTATTCTTATTATTGTTTGTTTTTTTCTTATTGAAAAAGCTGATTTAATTTAGAATTATAAAACTTTAAGCGAGCAAAATATATTAGGACAGTGTTGATCTTATTTTAAGTTATGTATCATGTGTGTGTGTGTGTGTGTATATGTATATATATATATATATATATATATATATATATATATATATATATATATATATATATATATATATATATATATATATATATATATATATATATATATATATATATATATATATATATATATATATATAATAACATTTTCAAAATATATATTTTAAAATGCTATCTAATATAATTAAATATTTAGAATCCTCTAAAATTATAGAAATCAATAATTGTTTATTATAATGTTCAATTTTTTTCTCTAGTGATCAATTTTTCAACATTGATTTTTCTTCTGAGATTAAAACAAGAAGAAATTCAATATTCGGAGTGAGTATATCAATTTATGCTAGTTGTTAAAGTTTTTTTTTTTTTTTTGCTTTATTAGATTTTATAAACTTTTTTTTTGTTTTTACATTTAAGCAAGCCCTAACCAACATTATGCAACGCAAATCCCAAGCTAATTTTGCTTCTCCTTCTGTCAATGATGATGAGCTGGTAAAAAAAAAATTTCAACATTTTTTGTTTAATCTGAATTTCAAATGTTTTGTATTAATCTTTATTGCTTTTTTATAGAATATTTTATGTTCGTGTTTTTAGTCTTTGCTGTTTTTTTTCATAGAAAATTCATGTTTACAAAAAAACACTACAGGCTTTGATATACCCAATATCAAGTATGAAATGTTTTAGTTAAATTTAGTAAATTTTTTGAAACTTTAATTTGAAATAGAAAAAATTTATTAAAGCTAATAAAATAAAATATTAAATGTAGAGCTCAAAAAGGTGTATAGAAACCCCCTATTAAGTTCTTTCTTCATTCATTTCTATATACACTATTTGTTAAAAAAATTCACAAAACTTGTTTTTAGGTACAACTCCTCATACATTTGAAAAATTTTCAGCTCAGCATCCAGTTTATTGTTATGAGTGCGAAAATTTTTTATGGGGACTTGCAAGACAAGGGTTTAAGTGCTCAGGTTTTTAAATTCTGTTGTTGTTTACTATAAACTTGCTTAAAATATTTAATATTTATGCAATATCAACAGATTTGTGCTGGGTAAAGTCACAAATAGGTGTTAAAAATTAATAATATATTAAGTGCGATATTTTTAATAGAATGTGGTGTGAAGTGTCACGAAAAATGTAGAGATTTGTTGAATGCAGATTGTCTTCAGAGTAAGTGTGTTTTTTTAAAGAAATTGAAAAAAAAAAGAATTTGTTAAACATGTTATTAATAGATGAGTTTTAAAATAGGAGCTGTTGAAAAGTCATCAAAACACGGTGATGAAACCATTGCTAAAGCTAAGCTTTCTCATATTCGAGATAAAATGGAACGAAGGTGTATAGAAAAGCATGATATATTTGAAATGATAAGGTGTGAAAAATTAAACACTATAAATTTCATTTCCAAGATTACATGTTTATGCAAAAGTTTACAATAAACTTTTTAGTTTTTAAAGTTACATTTATCTTTCAGAGACATGTTTATGATATCAGAGCAAGATGATGTTAAGTATACAGATGCAGTAAAGCAAAATATATTGGATGGATCATCAAAGTGGTTTGCAAAAATATCTGTTACAGGTTCAAAAATAAAATAAAAAATTACTTTCATAAATAATAAGATAAATTATAGTTCAAATTTACTTTTGTTTATTATTACAATACAATACATGGAGTTTTATAACAATAAAAACATGAAAATAAAGACAATGTAAATAATATTCATAACAATAAAAACATGAAAATAAAGACAATGTAAATAATATTCATAACAATTAAAACTCAATAAATCATGATAAATAAAACTTACAGTTTTATTTAAGTAACTTTCAATCTCAGAGATAATTTAAGATATGTTGAATAAATTAATTTTTGTGCAATATCTGGCTTGAAGTTTATACAGAAATCATGTTCTTCTTTTAGTTCATAGAAATCTTGTTCTTTTCAAAGTTCATAAAAATCTTGTTCTTCTTATAGTTCATAGAAATCTTGTTCTTCTTTTAGTTCATAGAAATCTTCTTATTGAATTACAATTACTATAACAAAACCAAATTTTTTTCTTTTTATAAACATTGCAATAACAAAAAAAAATCTGCAAATAAAAAGTTCATTAAAGAAAACAAAATATAGTTTTAATTTCAAATTTTATATATTGATTTTACTTAAATCAACAAATTTTTTGTTTGTTTGTTTTATTTGTTTAAAAAATGTTTAATAAATAAGTTATAAAATATAATTTATTTATAAACAAATAAGTTACTAACCAATATCATTTAATATCATTTACGTATTAATAAAAAAAACATTTTTAATTTTTAAAAGTTTTCACTGAAATAATATTTCAATTTTTTTTTATTTTCAACTTATTTTAGTTCACAGTGCACAAAATCTCATAGCAAAAGATAAAGCAGGTTGTTTTTGTTATTTGAAGTTTTAAAAAAGTTTTGATTGCTTGTTGTTTTTTTATTCAAATTCATTTTCAAAACCTTGTCTTCATTTTATATTTAACTCTGTTTTTAATGTTTTTCATCCTGGTTTTTGAATAAACAAAGTATATATTTTTAAATATTTAGGTACAAGCGATCCTTACGTTACTGTTCAAATAGGAAAAACTAAAAAAAGAACAACTACTAAACCATATAACCTGAATCCAGTGTGGGATGAAAGTTTTACATTGTAAGTTTTTTAATAGAAAAATAATAATAATATTTAATAAGTATAATAATAATTGACATTAAAATTATATAATAATAGTTTTAAATAATTATTTTATTTATAGTAATAATTTATCAAATACTATTTAAAAAAACTTTTTTAGTGACTGCCATAATTCTTCAGATCGAATAAAAGTTCGTGTTTGGGATGAAGATTATGATTTGAAGGCAAGAGTGCGGCAGAAGTTTACACGAGAACCTGATGAGTTCTTAGGTCAAACCATTATTGAAGTTCGAACTCTAAGTGGAGAAATGGATGTGTGGTATAATCTTGGTTAGTTATCAAAACTTTATTAATTTTTTTACTTTTCTCTTGTTTTATGAGTTTAACTTTTTTTTTTTTTTTTTTTTTAAGGAAAGCGAACTGATAGATCAGCGGTATCAGGTGCCATAAGACTAAAAATTAGCATAGAAATTGAAGGAGAAGAAAAATTAGTCCCATACCACAAGCAGTATACTTGCCTTCATGAGGTTTATAGATTAAATTTTGTAATGTGTTGTTTATGATGATGTGACTTGATAATTAATATTTTTCCGTTTTTATTTTTCCATTTTAGATCTTGTTTCAATATCTGTATGAAAAAAATGGAAATGAAGTGATAATACCTAAGTCATCTGGCGTAAGTTTTTTTTAGATTTAATTTTTCGAAGTGTTTTCATTGTTTTCAGGGCTTTTTTTATCTGTATTTTTTTACTTTTTTTTTAACCAATGTTAAATGGCTTTGACTAGTGTATGTTTAATTTTTTTTCTAGATTTTTTTTTCAAATTTCTTTCTTGATTTATTTTTTCAAATTTTTTAAAGTGTATTTTTTCAAGTTTTAATGTCGAAGCCATTTGCAAAGTCATTGCAGTTTTTTAAATGAGTGTAGTTCCTAATTGGAGAGTTACTGTAGTTTCTTGGATTTTTAAGAATAATTATTACAGAATTTATCTGTAACAATTTAATTCCCGACAAAAAAAGTTAGCATTTTTGGTGGTAAATCAGTTTACTGGTATTTTTTTGCATAACTTTTTTTTATATCTTTTTTAACAGATTACTATCCTGGTGATAGTTTATGTTGTAATTAAAAATACATCAAGATAATTTATAGATAAAAAAAGTCTTTTGCATTTAAGGTTATTTTATATAACTGTTTTTTTATTGGAAAATTTTTATACTTTTCAATTAAAATTGATTTTTATTCAACAAAAATTACAATAAAACTTTTTTTTCTTTCTTACTCTTTTATTTTGATTTTTTAATTTAATAAAGTGCTTGTTTTCTGCATTGTTTTTTTTTTATTGCGTATATCTCTATATTTTTAAAACTTTTATTTGTCAGGATGATGCTTGGAAAGTATATTTTACTGAACCAGCTTTAGAAATAGTGAATGAGTTTGCAATCAGATATGGAGTTGAAATAATTTATCAAGCAATGACGTAAGTCATAAAAGATATTTTATATAAAATTGCCAACTTTGGAGAAATTTATTCTGCTGTATTCTTAGCAGAAAATTTCATATGTAAGTATTTTTATGCTATGTATACCAGTTGTGACTTGTTTTTTATTTCAAAGTAAGTTCTGATTTTTTTTATAGACATTTTTCATGCCTTGCTGCGCATTATAATGAGCCTGGAGTTCCTGCAATGATGAGTACATTACTGGCTAACATTAATGCTTTTTATGCACATACTACTGCAACTTCTGCTTCTTCTGCAAAAAATAGATTTTCAAATTCAAATTTTGGTGTATGTAATATTTTTCATTATAATAATTAGTTGTTTGTGTTATCTATTTGTTTTTTATGTGTGTGAATTTGGTGAGAGTTAATAAATGCAATGAAGCAATAAGTGCAAGTGCAGCCCTTTTAATACCTATTTGGTGAGCTAGGTGAGACTCTCCTTGTTGTTTCTTTTATTTTGCCCAGGTTTTTTTATTTGCAAGAACTTTTGCAATGTTCTGATAAAAACATTTATAATTATGTTTATGGTTTAATTTGAACTATTTTAAGAAATTTTTGTAATAGTTTTACTGTATTGTTTTGTTTTCTCTCAGTACCATTTGTTTTTATTTTACTCTGCTGTAGTTTTGCTTCTGTTCTGATTATTTAATTTTTTTTAGTTTTTACATCATCTTTCATCATCATCATCATCTTACATCATCAACATTTCATGTTTCATTTCTTATATTAAGGCTATTTTTTATTTTGTTCTTTTTTTTAAGGATAGTCATAGTGATGAAGAAGATTTATTATATTTTTTTTTTTTTTGGCTATAATAAATGTTCTTTATGATAATTGGTTGTACCTGCCCAAAATCTCATTAATGAAAAGTTAAAAACAAAAAAAGAAAATTCAAATAATCTTAAGACACGAATTTATTTATTTATTAAAAACATAATAACAGAATTTTATGTATATATGCATGTATCTATGTATGTATGTGTGTGTGTGTATGTATATATAAAAAATAAATATATATGAATATAATAGTTATTATATTTTCAAAATGTTTTTAGTTATTGGTTTTTGATTATCCTTTATTTGTTATGTTAATTGCTAAATGGTTTGAAAATTTCATATTTTTATTGCAAAGTTAAATTTTTTATTGAATAAATTTTATATCATCATTTTAATTTTAGAAAGCTCGCTTTGAGAAAATTTTAAATCAGCTTCACAATCAATTGAGGATTGACTTGTGCAATTATAGAGTAAGTTAACTTCTATATTTTGTGTTTAAAATAATTATTATTGTCAAGCAGTTGCCTAATACATTAAAATAAATATTTTTACTACAATTTAAACATTTTCCCTTTTTTTTAATATAATTTTTTATAAAATATAAATTTAAAAAATGTAATTTTTTAATTTTTTTTTTTTTACATTTTTGCTTGAGCACAAACTGTTCTTATTTTCTTAGTTTTTTACATTTTTATTTTTAGATATTTTATTATTAATAATATTTTTAATATTTTTTACATTTTTATTTTTATATCTTGAATATTTTTTACATTTGTTGCACTCTTTTGCATTTCTTTTTTTATTTAATTTCAGACACTTTTTCCTGCATCAAATGAAGTTCGACTTTCAGATTTAAAATCAACTGTAGACTTACTTACAAGCATAACTTTCTTCCGGATGAAGGTTTTTTTTTTTATTTTTTATTATTTTTTTTTAATATTTTAAAAATATTGTATGCATTTTTTTAATATTACTTTATAAGTTTCTGTCTTAAGTGTTTGTCATATGTAAGTCAACTTGAATTTATTTTTTGTTTTAATATGTTGTATTTCTCAAAATTTTAGTTTGATAAAATAAGATAAGCTTGTGCCATGACATTTTTGATTTTTAGAATAATTTAGGAATAGCAATGTGAAAAACTATAATTGTACTTTTAAAAAATTATTTATGTTTATACATTAATTTCAAAATTTTGAAGTTTATAAATTATGAGTAATAACTTTATTTAATAATATTTAAACAATAAAAATAAAAAGATCTTATCATCCATTGCAAAAATTGCAACAAAAAAAAGAGTTAAAAAATTGCTAAATGAAGCACAGCATCACAAGTGCATCAACGTCATAAATGAAAATTCTAGTTCTTTACTAAAAGTCTGTGTGTGAAATACATCATACAATCAATATGATTAATATTGATTGTATTAATAAAATCAATATGATCAATATTGATTTTACAATCAATCAAAACTTTCAATTTTGTTTACTTAATTTTTGGCTCTATAAAAATTTGAGAAATTTGATGGTTCCACAACATACGAAAATAGATTTTCTTTTCAAATTAAAACATATAAGTAAATATAATCCAAAAAAGTTTTAAGTTCAATAAACTGCTACAAAAGACAAATAAAGTTTAACATCCAATAAGTCTGCGCTCAATTTTATGCCACATTCTGCACTGTCATTGAGAACATTAACAGAAATGATCTTGATTGACCTAGGCAGTTTTCATTGTTGCAATGAAGAAAGTTAATGTGCATCTCTTAAAGGCTGAAAATGTACCAACCATGTTACCAAATCCCCAAGTCTTGTTGTAGCAGTGATTGTAGTCTGAAATTTGGATTTCTGAAACCAGTGCCATTGTGATTATGTGGGGAGTTATTCCACAAATAAGCCTTTCTGCCAGAGGCTTTTATAACAAAGCTAAATAATCCAATTTTTTTGAAGCAATGTGACTAAAGCAAAAGGATCCATTTCAGAACTGACTTGTATATACTTTCAGAATGTTTTTTACAGAATGAATTTTTTTTTGCAGCATGGCTACACATGCTTTATGATAGCACTAGTTCGCTGATCTGTTTGTGGTTTATAAGCAGGCACACCAAGAATTTCGACTTAGTGATGCCTGGCTCATAAGTTTAAAATTTCAATGCAGAAAAATAAGCTTTGGTATAACCCAACATCTTGGCTTCATTCAGTTTTTGCATTTAACATGTGTCTTGATCTTGTTGTAGAAGACGAATTTCTTCAAGATTTGAAAATGTTATAAATAATCTGCTGTTCCACTTGAAGTAGTTTGATGTTTAACAAGCTTTCTTTCAGAAATCTTAAAAGGATATCAGTACAATGATGTTTACATTTTTGTAACAGTATCATAATAATGGTAAGCCTAGTGTCCCACTTTAACACAGTAACTAAACCAAACCAATATATTTGTTTCACTAAAAGCACTGGGCCATATTGAGTTTGACCAATGAGGTAGTTTGGTGCTCCCTAGTGTGAATACAAGATATATAACATTGGATCTAATTAGGGGGGTCCAAAATTCTATATTTCTTGTTTAACCAGTTATTCTTAATTAATTTTTTGAGAAAAGTTCAAAAAACAATTCAGTTTTTGTTAATTTTTTATGGTTGACCTTCTACTTCTATTTTAAAAATTTAAAGATACAAAAAATAAAAGTGTTTGCAAAAGTTTCTTTGCGTATAAAGTTACGCAGCTTTTCTTTCAAATTTATGCTATTCAAATTTTGATTGGATAAATTTGATTTTTAATTGTTGCGTTTTAGAAAAAAAAAGTTTCATTTGAAGTCTAAAAAGAACGTTTTAAATAAGTAAAACTTCAAAAAAAAAGTTTTATCTGAAGTCTCTTTCTAAACAAAACTTTTTAAGTAATCAAAAAGACAGATTGCTTCAAAATATCTTAATTTCTTTTTTTTAATTTATTTTTAATCGTTATTCAAGCTATCAAGAAGGCTATTCAAGATTTCTTTTTTTTTTTTTTCGCTTTTCTATAATGAAGTCAAGAATAAATCTTCTTTTAAAGTGCCAGTCAGTAGAAGTTCAGTAAAATGCTAAAGGTTTAACAACTCTAAAGATAAATAGGCTAAAGTAATACTGCTACCTAAAAGGCTTTAAAAATAAACTGGGTGATCAAATTTTGATATTTTCTGCTTTACTCTAAAATGCAGTGAATAGCTAGTTAAAAAAAATTCTAGAAGCAGTTAATAAGTATACCACAAATAGGTTGAATGGTTGTATCATTCTTGCTAGAGTATTTTGGCAAAAGTTAGCCTTAGCACTTCAAAAAAGAGAAAAGTATTATGTGTTTGATTAATGATGGAATATGATAAGTATAAGATGGAATATGAATAGTATTAACTTTCTAATTAAGTTGTTGCAGTTGGAAAGCTTTGGAAAAAACCCATTTAATTTCAACAGTAGATGTATACTTGATTATTTAAACCATATAAAAAATGAAGGTTCCCGTAGTTTAAAAATTATTGCCCAGTTATTTGTCCAAAAAGTTGAAACTATGGAATATAGTTTAAACCAGCTACAAAAACAAATGGATAACAATGGAAGAGCAGCAAACGATACATCAGGTGTGCAAGATAAGTTCTATTTTAGTTTGATAAAAGTTACAAGGCAGCCCATTTAGCTGTAAACTAGACATTATTGAAGTAGATAAAGATGTGTTAAAATGAAAAAAAAGTTCGAAAAGTGAGGTTCTTTGTTTTAGTGATACAATGTAGGTCATTGTCGCGGAGGTTTATTCTGTTTAAATACATGATTGTTGATATAAAAATACAAACCTCCATCTTATGTCTACCAAAGAACATGCTCATAACCTAGATGTTCTACATGGAAAGTTTCTGCAGCAATCTCTATCACATGTAATGACTTTTATAGTTATTTTTATATATAATGCTTAATTTTTTTTTGTTACTTATAAATCGTAAGGTATATTATTGATAAATTAAACAGAAAAAGATTTCTACTTTTCTACTTTTCTTATATTTAAAGATAATAATATTTTCATCTATTTTTAACAATGCCTTTTTTTGTCAATATATTCACTTTTATTAAAATTGAAGTAGAAGGCTAAATAATTAAAATGAAAAAACATGATGATGATTTTCAGAATCAGCATGAAAAACTAATTAAGAAAAATTAGTTGAACTATAAAAAATCTATAAAAAGATGATTATGGACCCCCTAATCTTATTGTGGTAAACCTAAAAAATTCAAAAAATAAATATGGTGCACTACTAGATGTATGTAACATTCTAACTTTTTAATCTTGTTTTTATTATTATTAGTTAAACAGTTACCCACAGATCATTGGTGAAATAATTTAAAACAAAAGGAGATAAAATATCGATACTAGGTCATCAAATTTAAAGGAAGGATTTGTGAAAGTATCATTTATTTTAGCACTAGTAGCATATGACTTGAGATCATAGTATTTAAATGCAGCTTTATAGGCAGCATACAATGCTTGAATAAAATAAACTTCACTTGTCTAGCAGATATCAAACTCCATCAAGTCAAGTATGGTCTCCAAGTTTTAAAATTGTTTTGGTCCATTTATTTTATAATTTTGTTCCATAATTCTTTAAATTGGCTAATGATAAAAATAAGATACAATTAGAAAATTTGTAATATCTTTAAATTTTATTAATAAGTTGTAGTCAAATATTTTTTAAAGATTTTTTACACTTACTGAATGCTGTAGTTTTAATGATTTTGCAAGTTTAAAGTTAAAATCTTATTGAGCAGAGTGTGATTAACATCATTAATGATGCAATCACTATAATCTAATATCTTGCTGAGAAAAGGTGTGGTTGGCATCTTTAGATAAGATGCTGATGCAAGCATGGGTACTCGTATACATAACATTTATTTTTCATAAGCATTGCTTTAAACTAAATGAGTGTTGAATAAAAATAAGTAAAAAATATGTTTATTTTATATGCAAAGTTCTGTGTTGCTTAAAAATCTTGTTAAAAATCTTGTTAAAAAACTTGTTGCTTAAACTAGACAGAGTAATAAAAATCCACAAAACTTATGGAAAAAATATTCTGTAAAGGAGCATAAGTAAAGTTATTTTGGCATTGTTATTACAGGTGATGAAAAGTGGGTACTTTATGGTGATCATGCCAGATAGCATCAAAGTCTTACTCAAAAGCCATTACTAATGCCAAAACTTGAACTTTTGAACCTTTTTTATGTGATAAGGATGTACATGGTATTGCATATTGGGAATTGCTTCCTACCTATACATTTATCATTGCAAAGGTCTATTGTGCTCCTACCAATACATTTATCATTGCATCTATTGTGCTTGATGAAAAAAGCAACAACTCATAACTAATTATTCAGAAAAACACAAAATTTACTTTCTCATGATAATATTTCATGACATTACATTTTGCAAATGTAACTTGACAATATGAAGTCAAATGTTGGAACGTGGCTGGGAGATGTTACCTCACTCAGTGTTTTCACCAGACATATCCTTAACTGATCATTTCTTGTTTCGTTTGTTAAGCAACAATATATGAGGCTTTTGAAAAAAAACAACCTCAAAGCTTACCTAAGCAGCTTTTTTGCCTCCAAGCCCTAAAAAGGCTTTACAAATCCTATTTAGCTATGTGCACATAGCTAAATATATGACTTTTTAGCTATGTGCACATATATAACTATTTAGCTATGTGAACACAAAGCCCTAAAAGGGCTTTGTGTGCACATAGCTAAATAGTCATAGAAAATAATCAAGTATATTAAACTATATACTTGATTATTTTCTATGACTATTTTACAACTTGCTTGAGCAGCTACCATGGTTGCTGCTCAAGCAAGCTATTATCACTTATTCCATCAATCAAAACCTATTCTTGCATGACTCATCAATCAGCAACGCTCCTTCATTTTACTGTAACTGTTCCAGCACAAAAACTTTTATTTATCTAGTTTTTTTCTCAGACATTTGTGTTAAAAATTCTCTTCTGTCTTCATGTTTCCTGACTTGCATAGTTTCTTGACTTTTATAATTTACAGTTTTTTAAATCTTCAACCACTTTCTTACTCTTTAATTATCTGCTTTTTATTTCCTGTTCCCAAATTAAATAGTGGTTGCTTGTAACCTTGTTGGGATTGAACTTATTTAATTTTTTTTTTTTTAAATGGCTTAAGTTTTCATATTTTTAATGAATCAGACTGTTTTTTTTATTTTTTTGACATTGTAATCAAATGTAGTGGTTTTTCTTTATATGTATATATTTATCAACCATTGGAATTAGGAAAAAATAGGTCAGCAATAAGTTGCCAACCTCAATCTTTTAGAGGTTGGCATCAGGTCAGCAAAAATAATTTGATACAAAGGTCTTGCCATTAAACACAGAAGTGAGGTCTCTCAAACACTTTTAGGTTGGCAGTTCTGAGGGTTGTATATATATATATATATATATATATATATATATATATATATATATATATATATATATATATATATATATATATATATATATATATATATATATATATATATATATATATATATATATATATATATGCATGATTATAAATTCCATATATGCATGCATATATTATATATGTATATATATATGCATGTATATATATATATATATATAGATATATATATATATATATATATATATATATATATATATATATATATATATATATATATATATATATATATATATATATATATATATATATATATATATATATATGTTTTCCTGATTTCAATAAATTTATTTACAAAATTTATAAAAACTATTTGTTTTCAAGCTTCTAACCTCTTCAAACATTCAATAAATCCCCCAAAAAACAAGTGAAAAGGAGGGAGAAAAAAGAGTAATACAGCAGTATAATTAAAAATGATAAAATATATTTCCTCTCATGCTATGGTTTAAAAAATAGTAACTTATCTCTCAATCATTACTATGGGTTAAAAAAATCTTTAAAGTAAATAGTAATAAAATTTTATTATTTTTATTATTAAATAAATCTTTTAAATAGACTGTTTCTTTTACAGGTTCAAGAATATAATGCACCTCCTCGAGCAGCTCATGTTGTCACAGAGTGTGTGAAGGTCAATATTTAATTTTTTTACTTGTATTTTATTGTAAAATATTTCTGAAATTTTTTACCTTCAATGTTTAAAGGTTTGTTTACATTTTTAGAACTGCATTGAGTCAAACTACAAGTTTATTTATTCTAACTGCCATGTACTTAGTGCTGATACAGATAAACAGAATGAAGATAATACTGGTACCCAAACTATAGAGTTTTGGGTTAAATTAATTCGTTTAGTTGTTGGGATTATTGAAGAAGATCGTGATGTTTACACAAATATATTAGATCAGTATGTATTTGTTGGTTTTGTATATATATATATATATATATATATATATATATATATATATATATATATATATATATATATATATATATATATATATATATATATATATATACATATATGAAATATGTATATACCATAGCAAGGTATGGCATCAGATAACAGTTTATTGTTTCTATATATAAGTAGCTTTAAAATCAAGTCTTTACAGTTTTTTTTACAATGTTTTTGGTATTAAATATAACATTTGATTTACTAAAGCTTTTTTTATTTTTAGATTTCCATCAGATTTGAATGTTGGAGAGTTAAGTGCTTTTAAGTTGTGGACAATGTTTGGAGAAAGTCTTCAAGAGTTTTTGGCAGGTAAACTTAAAATTTCTTCATTGTCAATCTTTAGTTTATAAATGTGTTTAAAATAATATTTTACATTTTTGTATTTAATTGGTAGT